AACCGTTAAACGTTAAACCGTTCAGATGTATGAATAGGAATCTAAACTCTTTATACTCCGTAAAAGAGTTTTTTAAAAATAGAAAGAAAAATAAAATATGCAACTATATTAAATACGAGAGCCCTTAAAAGAATTAAGTTTTCCATCTTGTCGCACGTGCAGTAACATTCTGAGCGTTAGACATTGGAGTTTTGTATGCTCACATTTATTGTACTATTTTACTATTTTTTATGTATTACATTTGACGTATTTTGCCAGTAACAGTCTTGCCTGCAATAAAAAATTGGGTTCGCGCTAGGAATCATGCTCGAGGATTTCCCGTATGGAGAGCTTCTTGTTAGAAGGATAAAGAAAGATCCGGCCCGGGGTTATTTACAAGCAGCAGCAGCAGCTCGATCGCGCACGCTATAGAGACGGTGTACCGGGATCGAACGTGTTCCGTGAATTCAGTTTATCACGGCAATTTGCATTCCACCTCTCTCGCTTTATCCTTGTCCGTCTTGCGATCGTCGCTTTCTATTATCTCCGTCACCCATCCGAACCGTGCCTCTTTCGCGCAAATCACGTCTGATTGAGGTTTCAATCGGAATTCGTGAATAGAACTTGATTTACTGGGGTACATATGCGTGCACTGCGCGTCGCGTCGACAAGAGGGTGGTTTGGCCGATGCAATGGCTCTCGTTCTCGTTTCACCCATCGAAGATCACCCCTTTCTGTATCAGCCTGGCCAAATAGCTTGCTAATGAGTCGAACACGAAGTTATTAATCGAAGGGAATTGCAACTTCGACGCACTACGTACATTTCTGATGGTTTATTGATACTTCATAAGGGTTGACCGTACACAATCATTGATCCATTTCGAATTCGATTGCTTTTCATCGCGAACAGCACTGTATATCCGTTAACAGAAAATTAAATAAAACTACAGTCGTACTGAAAAAATTTTACTAAAGAATGACGTTAAATTTTTCTGGATATTTTTGAAAACTGCAGGCAACCCGTTGGTATCGTCCTATCGCTGAAAAGCCGTCCATAAATTTATTATTGTAACCGGCGAAAAATCGCGCAGAATAAATACGATCTGGCAGCATTTAACATCGTTTGCAAGCGTTGCGATTCGTGCACGGGGATGAGGATGGAAATGCTGGTGGATGATATTTCGACGTTGAACAATGTTGCTACAAACGCAACGAGGAACGAATATTTCAATACTACCAAGAGTCGAGTGGCGAACACATACTTGTCAAAGGATCGAGTTTTCCTACGAAATTTGTATCCCGTTCCATGATACTCTATTATCCGATTGTTTTACTTTGATCTGCTTCCATGCATTGTTATTGTATATTAAATTATATTATATGAGAATATGTACTTTCTTTTAAACTGTCTTTTAACATTAAAAACTACCGACTTTTTTATATATGCATTTCTTCATATATGAGAATATGTACTTTCTTTTAAACTGTCTTTTAACATTAAAAACTATCGACTTTTTTATATATGCATTTCTTCATACAAAACCAGTCATTTTAACTGGTTTGGTAGTTCTAAAACTAGACGTTAAAACTATAATTGAGCAGCTCCTTGTTGAGTATTCTTGTTCCATTTTTTTGTCGTTTAATAAAAATTCGATAATTAAAAATGACGTACTTAGAAATGGTTCTAAAAATGTATAATGCTTAAATGAATGAAATACAATATAAATATATGAAACCAATTTGACATTGAAATGCGATTCAGTAATCTTAAAGTAAATTGCTCAGTTTTACTTCCGCTCTAACAAAACTGTTCTTACACTGCTCGATCAATTCAGCAACTCGAATTAATCTGAACAACTGACTTAGCAAAATGAAAAAAAAACAACTAAAACGGATCGACATTTCTGTTCTATGTACCCGTTCAGTGAAATCTCGAAAAGTGATCCGATCAATCGAGCAAACCCACCCCTTCGATCGTCGTTTTGACTTTCAATATTTGCACGCCGTTTGTTTGCCGTTCTCAGTATCAGATAGGATATACTTCCCTGTTTCGCTCGCTCGATGAATACCAATATGCGAACTAGATTTTTCGACGGGTCCGAACATTTCACCAGGAAATTCTCAGCCTGGAATATTGATCGGCTGACACTGTGTGTACCTTTCATATTATTTTCATTACCATTTACAGATATTCAAACAATATTGCAAAATCTGTAAACAATTCTGTATTCATAATACAGCGGTACTTGTGTGTACTTCCAATTTAGTACCTTAGAGAAACTTCATAGAACGCTACATAGTACTCGTTGTACAGTTATACATACATATATGTTATTCATGTGTCAAAATTTCTATCAAACTTTTACAAATTAAATAGTACGTGTCGAGTGTGATTGATAAAATGATCATGGAACAATGTTATCGAAAATATCGTCATTTAATTGAAATTAATGCACGTTTTCGTTCCAATCTATGTATATAATCGTAGCGACGACGATTGACGGGCAATCAATTAAATTTCACACTGGTGTGTTCAACAGTTATATGCTTGTTGCGTAGCTATTATTTGCAAATATGTATATTTGTCGGTATGAAAGCCAGACTATAACGTTTATTCGACTGGCGAACTGTTTCACTTCGTGTAATTGTTTTAATATCCAATATAATGTCGGTGTTCCGATTTCCGATTGATATTTACACATCCAGGCGACGTGTTTGCCAGTAGATTCTAACAATAAATAATTGATACTGTTTACGGAGAAAATCGAAGTTCATTCACATATATATACTGACTCAGATAGAATCGTAAAAAATTTATTTGTTAATATCTAGACGACAACTGGGAAACGTATAAACGTCGTAAACCTTATTTAAAGTCATACATTATAGAAAAAGTGCTTCAAGTAAGTTTTTTGGATTTATTTTACATAATGTATATTACAAAATATAATTTTATCTTTCCTAAGTGAGTGCTTGAAAATGTGGACAAATTATCTATTGTAACTTAATGTTCCATGAAATTTGAAAATTAATAGGAAGGAGTGTATCGTGCTCCTGACGTTACGCAACCATCCAGTCCTGGTCGTGTGAGTGCGCAAATCGATTCCGATGCAAGCCCGTTCTTAAGTCCGTGAGAGAACAATGACCAACATGACTTCGTATTTCTTCCCCGTTATCGGTCGTACCGGGAGAGCGTTGCACCGTTTATTGCAGCTGGTACAACGCTCCGATACCCAAAACTGTCCCCTTAACTTACGATTAAGGTCGGCTGAAATAGCGGCGAGCGCACGGTATTTTACGATAGCGATGTTTCACCAGGAAATATACGCAAACGGGAAATTTTAAAGGTTTTTTCACGTTCATCTACTTATCCTTTCTTAATTGAAATCCATCGTAAAATATAATATAAAATAATGGTCAAATGTAATTTGCATACCGATAAAAACGAAACGGTGGAGTAAAGCACAGGCGAAATATACAAGTTAAACTAACACGTTTTGAATTCTTGTGTCTCACGTCCGACTGCAATACTATCATCCAAATTTTGCTTCTTTCAAATAAGAGTATAGACCTAGACGAATTGTATGTATAAAGTTCAAATGTGAAATCCTCTGCAGGCGAAGAACAGAAGGTAGTATTTAGACTCGGCTTATTCTCCAGTGAATCTCGACCTTCCACCTTTAACTTGCAATTAGTTTAATTCGGTTTAATCCAGCGTATGGACAACAGCAACCGACTTTTCAAAACAATTCACTGTCTCCCATGCTTTGAAACTTCGTACAATTTTGGTAGCTGTATATAAAATTGGAACACGTAGAATTCTCTTGTACGGATTTATTTAATTAATTATATATTACAAAATATAATTTTATCTTTCCTAAGTGAGTGCTTGAAAATGTGGACAAATTATCTATTGTAACTTAATGTTCCATGAAATTTGAAAATTAATAGGAAGGAGTGTATCGTGCTCCTGACGTTACGCAACCATCCAGTCCTGGTCGTGTGAGTGCGCAAATCGATTCCGATGCAAGCCCGTTCTTAAGTCCGTGAGAGAACAATGACCAACATGACTTCGTATTTCTTCCCCGTTATCGGTCGTACCGGGAGAGCGTTGCACCGTTTATTGCAGCTGGTACAACGCTCCGATACCCAAAACTGTCCCCTTAACTTACGATTAAGGTCGGCTGAAATAGCGGCGAGCGCACGGTATTTTACGATAGCGATGTTTCACCAGGAAATATACGCAAACGGGAAATTTTAAAGGTTTTTTCACGTTCATCTACTTATCCTTTCTTAATTGAAATCCATCGTAAAATATAATATAAAATAATGGTCAAATGTAATTTGCATACCGATAAAAACGAAACGGTGGAGTAAAGCACAGGCGAAATATACAAGTTAAACTAACACGTTTTGAATTCTTGTGTCTCACGTCCGACTGCAATACTATCATCCAAATTTTGCTTCTTTCAAATAAGAGTATAGACCTAGACGAATTGTATGTATAAAGTTCAAATGTGAAATCCTCTGCAGGCGAAGAACAGAAGGTAGTATTTAGACTCGGCTTATTCTCCAGTGAATCTCGACCTTCCACCTTTAACTTGCAATTAGTTTAATTCGGTTTAATCCAGCGTATGGACAACAGCAACCGACTTTTCAAAACAATTCACTGTCTCCCATGCTTTGAAACTTCGTACAATTTTGGTAGCTGTATATAAAATTGGAACACGTAGAATTCTCTTGTACGGATTTATTTAATTAATTAATTCCCTTTTATTAACATTGTCTATAAATAGTTTATTAATTTAATGAGTTTGAAATTTTAGTTGTGAAGTCATAACAGTCCTAAATAGAAAATTTCTCTTAGCAGTTATCAACAACTGTCCCAGTCTGATTTCTAATATTTGGTCATTTAACCGCAGAACAAATCTGTTATTATTATTAATTACTTTCTATTGCGAAAATAATTTTCTTCCATCAGAGATAATGTTTGATACAATGTTATTTGTTTCTTGTTTCAGAAGGTGAAGAGCGGTCCGGGGGTAAGGCGCGGGGCGGTAAACTAGCGCGTCGTGCTCGCTCCTTCAAAGAGGACTTCCTGGAGAAGCTCTCCCAGATGCGTTCCCCGGGCAGCGGTAGCGGCGGCGGTGGCAGTGGTGCGGCGACGAGGGCCGCATCGCCTTCGTCGCCCAGGACGCCTCGGGACAAGAGCGCCCCGGACTCTTCTGGGGCCACTCTCGACAAAAATCCCCTTCGCGATCTGCACATCCACGTGCGGCAGGTGCAGCTGGCACTGCTCCACTTCAGAGACGTTGTGTCGAAGAAGAAGCTCGAGATGTTGCCCGGGAACGGCACCATCGTCCTCGATACCGTGACCACTATACACACCGTGCTCAAGTCCTATCTGCTCTATGAAAACAGGTTTTTAACTTTGATACTGCCTTTCACTTTCTCTGCCTCCCTGGTTTAATGATGAATAAAGCAGCATTTCATAAATGCACGTATCTAGTTGTATCCAAAATCTGACATCGTGTCACTTGTACGTCCATAAGTCTTACGATCAAGACCCTATTTGTTGCTCTTCAATAAATCTGACAAATATTCCAAATTAGTAATTATCACTGATTATTTCAATTGAAAGATTGTATTGAATAGTTAAATAAGTTATATTGTCGTAATTATTCAATAAATCATGAATTATTCCGATAACTACAATTGTAAGATATCCAGTACAATTAAATCGATAAGAGTAGTGAGCGTGGAAGAAAATTGTGTTTGTTGTGTTAGAAAACGAGTATCGTGATCTTTAATACAATTTGATTCTTTAATGAAGCTCGACTCTCGGGTCGGCGACGAATCAGGTGTACCAGGCTCTAGCGCAATTATTAAAACTTTGCGATGACGTGCTGTTGCACGGCGATCAGTCCTCCGCGTTGGACACCGAGAACGTGACGCACATCATAGGATTAGTCGAGGAAGCCGTGAAAAACCTCGTTGCTCTAGCGAACGAGAAGATCGCCAACAGGCAAAAGCCCGCCGCCGCCTCCACTAACAATAGGTAATAACACTGTAATTTTCAAAACTTTCAGACTGAACTTTCCGTCAAATATACCTAGTAAAACAAGGAACGAGACTCTGTATTTTTTTGTGTCGTCATAACAAACAGAATTTACGAACGAACGACAATCTGAGATCACGTTTTTCAGAACGTCGGGTTACGGATCGGAATTGACGCCACAAAGAAATTCTTTACCCGATATCCCGCTAACCCCGAGGGAGAGGCAGATTTTAGAGCAGACCGCTGCGACTACTAGTCTGGTCCGTAGTTCGCATAGTTCAGAGTCGATTTTAAGGGATTCTAGTCCACCCCCGAAACCACCACTCCCCGAAAGGTAGTTCCCTAAGCTTCTTACACGTAGATGTAGTAACATCGCATGTACTACCTGTTGTATGTAGCATAATTATACATGTCGATTAATCCCTTCGTTTTTACGCTATCATTTTTCAACTATTTTTAACACTATTTTATTTTCACTTCTTTTATTAAAAAAAAAATTTTTCTAATCGATTATCTGATTCGATCATTTCAGAACAAACGTTTGTCTGTCGGAAGAAAATAGTTCTTCAGGTATGCCGCCTCCGTTACCTCCCAAGCGGAGAACGAAGGCCCAGCAGTTGCTGGACGAGTCCGAGGGTCTTTTAGCATCTAGTCTTGACGGTGTCTCCCTACGTAGTCGATCGCCAGAAGATTCGTCGTCACTTTTAAGCGCGTCGGCTGGTAGTTTGGATTCGACCCTGAATCATTCTCGCGATGAGGATGAGATACGGGCGATCATGGGACCAAACGACGAGTCTCTGAACGACAGTATGGATCTCAGCCTAATGGCCACTATTCAAGGTAAAAATGTATTCTACGCTAATTAATTACTGAAGTCACTTTACTATGTCATAAGGAGTGTCATGAGCAACATACATATTTCTCTCATTCTGCATGCAATATTTTAAATCGTTAGATGAATATAGCATAATTAGATTTTTATTCTAATATCGATAACACTTTTTCTAAATGAAAAAGATAAAAATCAAATTGGAATTAAATTAAATTCATTGCTCTACGATACTTGAGTAAACGTTCACGACATCGAAATTAGATATATCCTAACAAGGTGACCGTGGAACTCTTTATCCATACGTGAACATTGCTTAGTCAACGAAACGGTTTTTAACTGCGTACGCTTTAATCATCGACTCAGTTGTCTTGAACGACACGTCTCAAAAACCGTTCACGTTTTTGCTCCTATAAACTATATTAGAGGAATCATGTGGTGTAAGAAATACAATTATTAAAAGTGTATTAGACGAATATTTTTAACTTTCTTAATATTAAAAATAAAGCAGAATAAAATGTATCTACGATTGTTTCGTATTTACAGGCATCCAAGTTAATGGTAGCTCAAACTGTAGTTGCTGGGACGGTTCCGAAACCAATATACCGAGCACGATGTTATTGGGTCAACAAACTCCTCAAGAAATGCTTAATCCATTCACCGGTGAGTAACAGAAAAGGAAAATCACTTTTGTGTACCAGATAATCGGATATCACCGTAACAGAGCAGCAAGCAGAGGCGGTGATACCCGGTGACATTGCACATTCATGAATGTAAAGAAAAAAATGTAAGAGCTAAAATTACGCAAGAATTCCTCAAATAGCTAGCGAGGCAAGTAGCGTAGGCGGTCAGACCTTGCGAACGTATGTGAATAAACAGTATCGTATAGATCCTCGCTCGAATCGGTGGAGTTCTTTTTCTCAAATACGCTTCTCGAAATTTAGCTAATTCCCCGTTTTAAAAGAACATGTCCATCAACTGGAATTGGGGAACTCTGAAAACGTTCTTGCGTAAAGATGTCGAGGAAAGACGAATTGGCATGTTTTGTTTAAATTAAAAAATCATAAGACAGAATATTGAAGAAGAGAAGTGGATTCTCAAGTGGAAACAAGTCAATCTGTTATTAATTTTATCGTAATTGTGTGTCTCAGGTATAGAAGGGAAAATGGAACGATTGTCGACCCAAACGCAAGAATCTGGTTTCGTATCAATGCATTCACAACGAAGTTCGTCGCAAAGTTATACCGCATCCAGTATAACGTCCAAGAGATCCTCTCAGCAGAGCAGCATTAGTTATAATTCGCAAACGTTCAATTCGCAGCAATCGTTCTCGCAAACGAAACTATCATCGGACAGCAACGGGTCTATTTACACACAGAAGACATTGACCAGTTCGAAGAGTGCCGTTAGCTCGACAAATCTATCCGGGAGCGCCGATGCCGCGATGTTGGAAAAATTGGTAAATATGAGTTCCACATGTCGTGTCTTTTATTTGTATCATTTTAATCTTAGTAGTTATCATTACCTGTACAGTTTGCTCTTGATTGTATAATATTCGACTTCAATTTATTGTTTGTTAACTGATTTTGCAAATTCTATAACTACATTTAAACGTATCATACATTTACAAATGTTTAATAAAACAAAATTGTGTGTATATTTTGTGTAGGATATAGAATCGATATCTTCCTCGGATGCGAACGGTGTGCCACCAGCGTTGCCAGAGAAACGTTCGAAGCGAAGGAAAGAACGCCAACCATCGCAGTATGACAATGTACCTGAAAATGAGCATTTATCAACCTGTAGTTTACACACTAGCAACGGCGACAGCCCGGATGCCAGTAAACCTCCTCCGCTCCCCCTTAAGAAAAGGCACAGTAAGTTCAGATCATGACTTTTAACGACAAGCAGCAATAAGGCAAGTCCTACGGCTACTTTATTGCTGTTGAATAAAATTTTTTAATGGAAATACTAAAAACGAAACTGCTCAGACATAAATTGTCAGACGAAATTGCATTAAACAATTGGCTAGATTATTATATTAGAGAGTAGACGTTCCAAATCTGTTTTCTGAGTAGGTTTAAAACTGATACAATATTTTGTATCCCCCAGTGTTCCAATCAGTGGCATATTCTGGTAAGTGGGATTCCTGCCCACACAAATCAGCTATATCCCTTCTTCAGCCAAACACGTTCACGCTAAGTTGAAACCCTTCGTTTCACGCATTAATTATTATTAATACACGACTTTTTGAGCTCTATTTAGCTTTCTTGCGGCATGTTCGTCGTTCATTTTTTTATCTCCTTTTATGGAAACGATGTTGATCGTCGAGATTTCATTTGATATCGAGCTTGGACTATATGTATACTTCAGTCACATAAGTATCTTTGGCTTCTTTATAGCTTACAATTATAATACGTAATTAATACCGACATTAAACATGAACAATGATCATTTTAAAAATTTATCAATTTAACTCGCTCTATATTATTTTTCTTATTTTATACTTTACAGAATTAAGTTACGAATATTTATTTAATCATTTCGTTTATATCACACCTCATATGTTGTTTCTTTTACTTTTATTAACTCATCTGTACAAGCTCTAAATTTTATTGTCTAATCTGGAAACTATCTTCGACCACTTACGTGGGCGTCGACATTGTTTCACTAATTAGATTGACCTTTTCTTGCTAATAGTCAGTTAACACTTACGCTTCTTTAACTCCGTAGCCGAGCCAGCTGGCTTTAGTTTTCATTTCCACGATTGTGCCTAAAGAAACGACGAGAAAAGACGCGTCTGTTCATATCATAAAATTTTTTCGATAATACTTGTTTCAATTAGAGAGTAACAGTTTTACCGCGGGAAGTGTAATCGACTTTGGTTTAAACATGTTGTTTAAAAGATTGCACTCTTACTCCAGTGAGTTTTGATAAACGCGAATTTATGTATAATTATGTATCAAGAAACATGCTTGTGCATCAGTGTTCTTTTGTATTTTATACACCTGCGCTTTTTTTTAATATTTCTTTTCCTTTTCGTAACACGAATCATGCTTGTATTCATCATATATATATATATATATATATACACATGTTACATATATATATATTACATATATACATATCATGGAGCCATCGTCTTTATTTATTTTTATGTTACCTCACGAGAAATAATCGTTACATTGTCTGATACGTTAGAATTATACAAAGTTTGATTATATCTATTTCAGTAATGGCATACATGGAGATGTTTGGGAACTGTTCCCGCAGTAACAATGACTTCATCTCTGGTCTTGGGACTCGGCATTCAGTGGCAGCTTATAATTCAATGCAAGCAGAATGGCAACAACACGAGATGGCCCTTACAACGACGCAGTCGTGCTCGTTCATGGCGCACACTATGACCACCTTGCACGACAGTTCAAAGTATGCGAATTTAATAGTACAAATGTGTACGCACACGTCGTCTCATTCAGTGTGTTAAGAAAATTGCGAAGAATACGGTTGAATATCTTTTTCAGTACCTCCTTAACTATGACACCGTCAGTAACAGAAATAGCAAATAATTCTAGTCTACCACCAGCGTTGCCACCAAAGAGATCCCGTTCGATTAAATCTAACGCAACTCCGCCGCCGATTTCGCCGAAACCAACGATTAGCATGCAAAGTATAAACACCATAGAACCAATGGTAACGTCAACTCCTGTGAAGGCGGAGGAGCCTATTTCCATCCACGAAAAGAAAGAAGTGACACCGTCGACTCCAGTGAAATCGGTAAGTATCTGAGAAAGCCACTGCCACGTTTTACTAGTCCCTGAGCCTCCCAGATTTATTAGATCGCGTGATATCTTATCTTCAGAGTAACGTTGCTTTGGACACGATATTACCATCTTCGAGACCCGCGAGCAACGCACTGTCGTCGATATCAGTTGACGACAGCACTTTGGAGTTAAGAGACGTCGATCAAGACGATAGCATCCTGGATGAGCTAGATATCAGCAAGCATTTAGTGTTTAAGAAACCTGACGAAGAAGGTCCGGATATAAAGGGAGGTCATCCTGACGCACTGTTGATTCATGCTACCAAAGCTAACAGACACGGTAAATACCGTTTATTACAATTTTCTAATATGTTAGAATAAAAATATGTGGTCAAAGGCAAGACTTTGGACAATTCATTATTTGAACACATCACGTATCTTAATTTCATAAAAATCGCTGAGAATATATGCTTTTTGTAAATTCGGCTCCAATTTAAACTAATGAACTCTGTAAAATATAAAACATTTCATATTTTTTCATGCTGCGTAGATGAAAAAGAATCAGGTCAGTGTAATATTATTGAAACAAGGAATAATTAATCAAGTTTGTCGTAAAGCTATTACAAACGTAAATAAAGTCTCTTGTGAAAGTAAATAAAGTATTCGTTTATTATCTTGTTTGCAGACTTTTTATATCAGGAGGCGTTCTTAACGACGTATAGAACTTTCATGCAACCACTGGAATTGATTCAAAAGTTGCACAGACGTCATCAACGATTCTCTTGTTCCGCTGATGTCGCTAAGCAAAGAGCAGCTCGCGAGGCGTTCTCCTTACTAGTTAGGGTTGTTAGCGATTTAACGTAAGTAAATAACTAAACGAAACGATACGTTTTCATATTTTGTAATACACTTACAATTAAAGAAATATGAACTTCTTCTAGCATGTCCGATCTCAACGATACTTTGTTACAAACCCTGATGGAATTCGTGCAACAATTGGTATGCAGCGGCGACCTGACCATGGCAAAAGCTTTGCGTGTAAAAATTTTGGAGAAACACGCGACGAAACAGTTGCAAGCCGCGCAGCCGATTCTCTCCTCGTTGAGTGTGACAACGAAACAAGCTTCGCTTCTTGATTTCAAGAGCGAACAAATCGCTGAACAAATGACATTGCTAGACGCGGATCTATTCATGAAAATTGAAATACCGGAAGTGTTGATCTGGGCCCAGGAACAGAACGAGGAGCGTAGTCCGAACCTGACCAGATTCACTGAGCACTTCAATAAAATGTCGTATTGGGCAAGATCAAGGATATTAGAACATAGACTGGAGAATGAGGCGAAGGATAGAGAGAAATACGTGGTAAAATTCATCAAGATAATGAAACACCTTCGGAAAATAAACAATTTCAATAGCTATCTAGCTTTACTGTCCGCACTGGACAGTGCGCCCATTAGAAGGCTTGAGTGGCAGAAACATATTACCGAGGGCTTGAAAGAATACTGTGCCCTTATTGATAGCTCTAGCAGTTTCCGAGCTTACAGGCAAGCTTTGGCGGAGACACAACCGCCGTGTATTCCTTATATGTAAGTAGACACCGTCATTTTATTTTTATCCTCCACTAAAAGCAATTGCAATTTTCGGAATATTACAACTCAAATTGACTGTTATTTTAAAGGCATACACGTGAAGAATCTCTTTTTCTCGTTTCAGCGGACTTGTCTTACAAGATCTTACATTTGTGCACATAGGAAATAGCGATCTGTTACCGGATGGCACTATAAACTTTTCGAAAAGATGGCAACAATTTAATATTGTCGAAAATATGAAAAGGTTTAAAAAAGGGTAAAGTTCCTTTCAATATTTTTATATTGTTTCAATATCGCTTGCATTTACGTATTGTTCCTAAATCGTTTCGATTTTTTTGTTGCAGGACGTATTCTTTTAAGAAGAATGAACGTATAATCACGTTCTTCAACAATTTTAGCGATTTCCTCTGTGAGGAGGCGATGTGGCAGATATCGGAGAGTATAAAACCGCGTGGCGGAAAGAAGGCACAACCACAGAACTAGAACACATCTAACCCTTTCACTGCCTGCGTCTCGAAATCGAAAGGCTGAACCAGTGAATTAGAACATTTGTATTTATGGTATTTAGGTAGGTTTTGTTTAATTCTAACGAGCCGAGGACAACAAAAATAATGAAAACCATGCACCACTCTAAAGGCGGTGGAAGGGTTAGCTATATCTATCTCATTTCAACAGCCTCTGTGAGGTTGTATATTTAATTTATGGGAATTTTTAATATTCAATTCCATATCGAAGATAAGAGATACGAAACAGACATTTAGATCAAATTGATATTTGATGTATTGATTTCGTTCGATGATATAACTTGCGTGTACGGATAATGTCGAACGTGTGAATCGAAACGCGCGTTAGAGAGATATGTATGAATTGGCTAGATCAGTCACGTTTCAAATGTATTTTTATAGTTTTTTCCTTTTCGCTGTAAGATTGGTAAGAAGTAAAAAGAAAAACAGAAATCGTGTTTTGCTATGGACCTACGGAACGTATACTTAAAAAACAAGCTACAGCTGTAAAAGAGATGCTTGAACATAACATGAAGGGAACGAAACCCCAGAGAACAAAAAAACAGACACGTGCACACATATACATAAACATATATTGACATTAAGTATTCTACATGTATATCTATATGGGAAAAAACTATTTATTTATTTGCTTTATATCAACGACATGTAAAATGTAGTAGGTGTCATTCACTAATCTTCTTTTTCTAACTTATTTAGATATTGTATATGTAAACGTCCATCGTATAGCTTTATCGTAGATAGTGAAACTTTTTCAAACGTCAACGGACAGGAATGAAAAACCAAGTCCGTTCGACTTCGCAAGGATGAACACCAATTAATTTGAATTTAATGTAGAGCCATCGTGAACTTGGGTGTCCAAGCGTCGATAGACGCTTACTCCCGAGCGCGTGGCACGACTGAGAGCGTACTGTTACATATACTATTGTATATGATTGTAGGCGAAACACTTTTTGTTGAGAACTTGTTAATAGGTATCCAAGCTTTCAGCTTTAAGTCGAACGGTTACCTAGAAGGTATGTAAGTAGGTAAATTTTAAGCGAACGCGACGAGGGAAACGAGAGTCGAAACGAAATTTTATCATCACCCTCTTGTACTTTTACCGATATAAACCTAGACGATATCTTTTAATATCGGAATTATTGCACGTACGTTTCTTATCGTTTTCACTAATGAAAGAGCGAGTCTTTCTTTCACGATACATTCCGATGGAGTGAAAGAATTCGAACGAATTAATCGTGAAGTTGAAGGGGACAGGCTGTTTAATAAACAAGCTGAGAATCATACTGATCGAAATTGAAATCAAAATTTTTTCTTAAGTCGTTATGATTCTCGGTCAGTTAAATACGTGAAGAAATTTAATAGAGTGCATCGAGTATTTTCTCTTCGGTTTTCTAATATAGATACCGCTGTAATGATATATGGCTGTCTGTGTGCCTCATATTGTAGAACGAATGAATATCTGCCTATTAACGTTTCTCCAATTTCACGTCTAGTGATCAAATTTGTATATGTCACAGTAAAGTTTAAAAAATGTATTCACTTATTAGCCAAAGTTATAATAGATTCGTTTTCCTCATTTATAATACATTATTACTAAGTAAAATGGTTGTATAATTTGACTAATAAGTACATACATTCAATTTCGTTACTATAACGAATAAAAAATTCTTGAAACGTAAAATTATAATAATCGAGGCTTTGAGATATTTTCGTCAAACAGTCACATCTATACTAACGCGCGCACCTCTTCAGATTATAAAAAGAGGCCTAAGAAGTTGATAGTCAATCTATAAGCATGCCGTTAATTCAAATTCACCGACTCGTTATACACCGAAAGAAAGAGACAAAGTAAAAAAAGCAGCCATGATTTAGACTTGAGTCATAGATAAAAATATATATATATTATATATATTATAAATTCGATAAACAGTCGTCAATTTCAGAGTATGCACCAAGTACGACTAATAACTTCCAATATGAATCACAAAGAGATAAAAAGAAGGCGTTGAAAATAGATGCACTCCGTTAATCGTAACAGCGAATGATACACTGATATTAAAAAGAAGGAAAAAGACGAGAGGAAATCGATCTTACTTACAAAACTTTTATGCGTGACGCCGCGGTAAATCAAATTTAAGATCGTTTCGTGAGAAAATTCGTCTAAATACAGAAACATACCTGAGCGTGCGTGCGAATATGCTGTGAGAAACATTTTTCGTTCAGTAATCGATATACGATGTACGTTAATGTGTGAAATTGATTCGGCTAATCGTAAGATTAAGAATGAAAGGTTTAAATTAACCATTGTAAATAGTTTTGATTGTATCTATAGTTTCTTGAATGTACGCGATTGCCCACTAATTATTCACATTTTGTACATAGACAGTATACATACGTGTACTGTACTTTTACATTAACTTTACGCATGACACGTAATTTAATTTCATGTACGTTTTCCTCTTTCCTCATTTAAGTCGACCGAAATTATTGTGATGTCATGTTGAGTTATCAGACAATAGCGGACCGCATGATCTTTATAATTATTTTTCATTTCATTGGAAGAATTAAAGACACATCGTCGTGCCGAATAATTTCTTAAATTTGTACGATGAACAAATACACGCAAATCTCTCATGTGCAACAGACAGAAAACTGCACCGATTTTTTTTCTCAATTTTAGTATAAAGTACATATAAACCATTTCCAAACCAGAAATTTCACACATCCGTACTCATCGTATAAATTTTCGGATATTTGGTAGTATGTTCAATTTTATTTTCTGTATTCTTTTTTTAATACACTCACTATCATTTTTACCTTAAAATTGATGCCAACTTTTTACACATCCTTCAGATTCCTCGTACACGTATACGCACACGCGTACTTCTACTTTCCAGAATTCAGTTAAACAGTTCCTTTTACGAAACTGCTCACTTGAAAATGTATTTTTAAATGGTGTCATATTAATCGTCGTTGCGTCTATTTTTTATTATATTTTTCGCCAATCTACTGTCGATAGGACTCTCTTGTAAATTTCACGAAAACGCGTAAGAGTATACAATTTAAGGTAAACGCTAACAGAACCATGAGTGAGATAAAAAAAACAGTGAATATGCAACGAAAAACTTAGACTCGATCAGTTTATTAGATTAAAAAGAAAACAAGCATTAGGCTACTTCGCGGTAGGCGAACGAATTGTAAAGAAAATTAATTGACTTGATAATAAGATATCTTTGCATTTTTTTCATCTTATTACACTGTTAGAAATGCTTAAATTCCATTTATCGATTTCGTGATTACATAATTAAAACCTGCTAACATTAAATGCGTACATAATCTGTAGGTCAAATATATCTTATTATCAATGGTGTTAATTATTTGGAAATAAGATTAATCTTTGCGACTGCGTTTTCTCAGATTGGTCAAGTATAGACTAGCATAACATACGGAATAGGTGTAAAACTGTGTTTCTTTTTCTATGTTCTGCTGATTAGATAGGTATAATAGCTTTTGAGGAATCAGTCTATGGATGAAAATGGACTCTAAAGCAATCGCTGTTAAACTTATTCTTGCACAAAGATTTCGTCATCGCATGATCGTAGCAACGCTTCCACGGGCGAGGGATATTTGCTATTCTACCAATTAAAACTGAACATTTTACATGTACGATAAATTTGATCGGACGATTCATCGATCTCCTATTGTATTCCAAAAAAGCAATGGAGGATAATACAGCAGTACATTTTAAGTCGAGCATCGAAAGTAAAAACGTTCTTCGCGTAATGTGCGTAAACGGGATGAAGAATTTATTTGAAGATGCATGATCAGACGCGGTCAAATAACTCTCGCCGAATTTGAATTAAAATGTTTTCGATTGTATTGGGGAATGCTTTTGAATGTGTTTCCCCATTAGGGGAAACAATAAGTAATATTCCTCTAGCGGATATCGATAAGCATCAGATAAGTAATAAATACTATTAATGTGTTACCGATCTCTTAACGAAAACAGGAACAACAAAAATATATGTGTAATTTAACGTTTGAATAGTTACCAGGGTAAGTATTAGAAATTTACTGATACCTACCGATAATCACTTGGCGGCTGTTAATGCTTCGATACTAACGGTGTTTCAAGTTTCCATTCGATCCTTGACTAAGCGGGCCTGTCTATCGAACCATTAATTATCGTCATGAAAAAATGACATATCTGCAAAGTACATGCTATAATTGCTGTTTAGAAATGACAGTAATCGAAAGACCCCAGCGAGAATAGAGTATCAAAAAAAGGCGACGAGAAATGAAGAGGTGATGTCGATTTTAAATTAAATTGTTTTAAACGATGATGTAATTTGTTTGTTTGTTCAGCAGTATGAACAGGGGCGGATTAACGATTCACGAGGCTCGGGACTAAAATGAATATAGGGATTTAAGGGTAGTAAAAAATGATCATTTTGTGAATATAAATAAAAACTATGTTATTATTTCTTCAATTTATTATCGTAAGCATAATCTGTGCAAGTGCATATATTTTTTTATTCGAACCCGCAGGGCCTCTTGAATATTGGGGCCTAGGGCCATAGTCCCAGCTAATCCTTTAATCTGTCCCTAAATATGAGATATACCGGCATTCGTAAATGGTTTTCATTACGAAGGAAAAAGTAGAGAATTTTAATGCATTGAACATTTAAAATTGCACGCCGAAATATCCAACTTATGACATAGTTATCTATGATAATAAATTGTATAATAACGATAATGCGTTTCGATCCGAATTCATTATTCATTTCAAGATGATAACTGCTTTTTCGATTGACTATAGAAAATTCGTAATTCGCAAGAATTTTCAAACGCGCAGACCGATTTGTTTTGTAAATAATTTTTAACGACGACTAATATAATTTTCTAGCACGACCAACGATTTAAAATGTAACGGGGAAAAGAATAGAGATACATTTTGCTATTTCACTTTTCGGGCGGACGAACTTTCAAAACATTCATGCAATTAATCAAAAATCATATAACATATAAGCAAAGACATCGAACGATATCCGAATCGGTTTCTCTCGATCAAAATTACCAACAATCAAAAAAAGTTATATTTTTAATGGAAAGCCGAAGGATGAAATAATTTTAGGAGATTCGCATTTTCTAAATACCTATAAATATATTCGAGATTAGACGTACCGTAATATCTATTCATCTTATATTTTACTGCTGCTTTACACAAACAACAAATTGCATAATTATCGTAATTTTAAGCTTTGAAAAATCTTGTGCGGGAGTGTTGCGCATTAAAAGATATTAAGTATAATTCTTCGAAAGGTATCGGCGCATTAATTGTGAACTAATCGCATTGTTTGTAAATTGTCAGAAATATTATACGTGAGAAATGAATTGCTTCGGTTCGTAATGTGATAAATTTCAAAGAACCATTCATGCCACCGGCACCGTATTTGGATTCATCCCTTAAATAAAGCTTTCAACCAGGACAGTGTACCCATTTTTAAGAACCACAACAATCTTTATATAATTGTATACATACTTTTTATTCGTCAAACATGAACTAATTTACTCGTGTTACCATAAGATAATTATTGTAGGACTGCCATAAAAACACATACATAAATGTCACAACCAATTATTTAAGGGATCGACCCAGAGATTCATGAATTTTGAGTTGCATCGCTGTTGCAACAAACGATCGATAGATCATCAACGTTTATCGACGCAGAGACAATTACATCTAAACAAGTATCGAGTGGCGTTTATATTAATACATATGTGTGTCTCATTTATAGGACTCTGTACACACGTAGGACATTATTGCGATGTACCACAAAACGAAAATAAGTGATACGCGTATCCGCGGCTCGTACACGGAACGAAACACAATTCACGGAGCATATCATTCGTAAGCGAAGCGATTACTATGATAATCACTAAATAATCCAATCCAATCGTTTTTAATTATATTCACCCGCGACTAAGATGGAAATACCGTATGACTCTATACTCGAAAGGAAATAAAACTGTAACACACTGTGCTCACGTCTTTGATTATGCGATTTTCATTAAGTAGCCGCGATTATATTTTTCTATGCATATTTTTCTTACCGTGCCGAAATGCGGACCGTTTATGTAATAATTAATATGAAGGATATTCCTGCGTCGATGGTACAAGAAAGGTGGGGCGGTTCTACATGGAAAAATAAATTGAGAATAAAAGATTTCATTGTTTAATTCCAATTTATTTTCTTTTATACAGAATCGCTCCTTCCTCGCTTTTACTACCGATTCTCAGACCCTGTATATGTCTGTACCTACGATCATTACTTACTAAATAATTAAGATGATGTTAGGTCGTTTCGTAAGTCTTGTGTTTCCATTTACGGATTTTTAATTATAAACTACTTTGCTCCTTATTTTAAAAAATGATTTAAAAAACGAATTGAAAATTGAGAAAAAGTATATCATAGCCGTTCGTCAAAATGCAATAATATTTTTATACTTTCAGGACAAACGTTTGGACTACAGATAGTTAATTTCTATATAACTTATGCAACGATCTAATGCCATAGTTTTTCTTCCGTTCTGTCTATCGAATAAGTACGTTAAACATTTTTAATATGCGTACGAGTAAGGTTCTCGACCGAATGTTATTGCTTCTTTTGTAATAGATGTATGAAGAAGTAAAATAAAAATGTGTTAGAGCCAATGCAAATAAAATTTGACAACATTTATGCTAATAGTAATCAAATATTTACAAACATTTCAGTAGCGTATTTAAAAAGTATTAAACGTTCTTTGTGAATATTTTTCACATCAGGAGAATCAAGTGAATTCTTAAAATAATTAGTTTCTAATCAAATCATCATAATACAGGGTGGGGCATTTAAAACAGGCCACCTGAATAACTTGGCTTCTATTGGTGACAGGAAAAAATGCATAGGGCCAAAATTATTTTGGTACCGAAGAGCTGATCATCTGGTAGCGTCACGGATAAACACCCTGTATAATAATAATTTAATCATTGTCAACATATCCAAATTATTAATAGGCACTTGCTGACATCGAGGTAAAGCTATCAGGTATCACGCAGGTGTTGTTGCTATAGTAACTACATGGCAACAAATGCCCCGGCTTCAAGGCTCGCCTAAAAGCCGACGATCGAATTTGTAGAATGTTCACGTTGCTGAACGTGAGGTGCAGAATAATTTTAAATAAAATCGTGTTCATTCCTATATTCAAGTACGAATTAAGGTGACGAGCAGGTGTATAGAATGAGGTTCAAAATATCCACCCAAAATCGCAACGGCCACAAGCGCCTGGTCACCTGCGTAGCGTGGAGCTCAGCGGAGGAAATCTATTCCTGCGGGTATTTTATTTAAATTTTTTTATCCGTGACAAGGAAGACTGCATCTGCCTTTATTGGTAGGGAGGATCATTTATTGATATCATGGCATTTGGAAGGCGGAATCGCGCATTCGACCGTCGTTACAGAGTTTCCCGACGATTTTTACCCGACGGACATGCAGTGGCACCCGCGACCGAACTACGCGATGCTTATTTCTAAAAAACAGTCGTTGGACGTTCTGTTAATTACGACAGCCGACGGTACTTTTTATTTTCAATAATAATCATTAGCGATAATCATGAAAAATTTTTTAATATCGAAATAACTGATACCATGAAAATAATGAACTTTGTTCTGCAAAATAAAAAAAATTAAGTCCCTTATTTTCTTCAGAAATATAGTGAGCATGAAGGGAATGCTTATAATTAATTTTTACTTTCGCACATGCACTGGGATTGTTTATAATTAATTTTTACTTTCGCTATTTTAGGAAAATATCATTTAGTAAATAAGAGCGGGCGCATAGAAAAGAGTATAGAAGCCCACAAAGGGGCAACAACGGTAGGCAGGTGGAGCGGCGACGGTTCTGCACTTATGACCGGTAGTTAATATCTCAAATAGATCAATTTTAGCAACAATTATTATTTAGACAATTTTCGGGTATAATTACAGCTGGTGAAGACGGACTGATAAAAGTGTGGTCGCGAAGCGGCATGCTTCGTTCCGTTATAGTTAAGAGCTCGTTTCCGGTATTGTCAGCAGTCTGGAGTGCCGATTCCACGACACTTTTATATTCTCAGGGACCTCACTTAACGTTTCAATCGCTTAATTCTAATTCCAAGCCAAGAAAGGTTGAACAATTTTAATAAATGTATGTGGTGCTCGCAACGGCAAGGAGACGGAATATTTAAAAGCCAAATTTGATTCTAGCTGTTGGCGCACGATGGATTGATTTTAGTTCTGTGTTGGAGCCACGCTCACGGACTCGTTATATCCGGCGGAGAAGATTGCAGATACAAGGTACTCACGGTTTGAATAAATATTCAAGACAGTCGGTATGAATCGAAATTCCATTTCAAGGTGTGGGATCCAAATGGTACTCAGCTATTTTCTAGTAATTCTGGTGATCATCCGGTCACAGCGTTAAGCTGGAGTTACTCCGGAGATTACTTCGCCGTTGGATCATTTAATACAATTAAACTTTGCGATAAAACGGGAGTTAGTTTGTTTCTTGTAATAATACGCCGGTAACTGATTCGTATTTGTTTTGTCTAATACACGTGTACCTTCAGTGGTCTCACTCGTTGGAGAAAATTAACGCTGGGAGCATTTACAGTATTGCTTGGTCGAGCGATAGCACGCAGGTAGCTATGGCTTGCAGCAGTGGAACTGTATTAACAGGACATATAATAGACAGGTATAGGAAAGGTGGACTTTTTTTTATGGTCAAATCGAAAGGTACGATGTTGACAAATTATAGGAGATTGGAGTGGAATAATTATGAGGCGACTTTGGTCAAGAGGAAAGTGATCGAAGTGAGAGATGTGGGCAACGAAATTCGAGAAACATTAGAGATATCAGATCGCGTGGTCCAGCTGGAATTCGGTTTCGAACATTTGGTAGTAATCACTCCGGCGCAGTGTCACGTTTATTCAGTGGTGAACTGGAACACTCCTGCTATATTCGATTTGAAGAATACCAGCGTGTCCGCGGTGATTCTTGCGGAAAGGTAGCATAAATCGTATCATTATATGTATTAAAAAACGTCAAATCAAAAGCATTACAATTTACTTTTTCATAGACACTTTCTGTTGGTCGAGTGGAACAGCGTGTCGTTATATAGTTATCAAGGTCGTTTGCTGGGAACACCAAAATGGAAAGGGATGACGCAGGAGCGAATTTACCCACCCTGCGTGTCGTTATGTTCCGATACCCTAGTCGTACGATCTCAGAGTAACGAAAAACGTATGACAAATCGGTATTAAAGATAAAAAAGAAATTCAGGAAATTGTAACAATAGTTTTCTACTTATAGTGCTTCATGTATTGGAAGTAGCTTTCAATAAACCCATAACGGAGAGCCAAGCTTATACGCATCTGCAGAGCATCGCGAGAGTCGCGTTAAATCATATTGGAGGTGTGACCGATCGACAAGTAGCGTTGATCGATGTAAATAAAGATTTGTTTCTAATTTCTATAAGAACCACCGGCTTTGGCAGAATTTGCAAAATAGGTATTTTTAAAAAATCTGGAAATTTTTTTCTGCATAAAGTAAAATTACGGTCTTTTAATGATTGAACTGCTAATTTAAGCTGCTATGGCGCAAGACATCGCGTGGGCGACTGATGCAAACGTTTTGGCTGCGATGTTAGACGCAACATTATCCGTATGGTTGTGTCCTAATTGTGTACACTATAGTGACCGGAAAATCATACGAAAAACGAGAATCGATAAAGAAAGCAGGTTCTTGTAATTTTAAATAGAATATAATATTTATTAATAATTGTTTAATTATGACGCTGTTATTCTCAGTGAATTCGGAAAGCAACCGAGCATAGCAAGCGTTCATAATGGTATGGTAATGATACGACGTGGTGATGGAGCGTTAGTGGCTTCTTCTTTCTACACTTTCTTCATCAGTCTTCATCAGCACATATCGAACAAACGATGGAAAGAAGCGTTGTTCCTCTGTCGAATTGCTCAGGTAATCCTTTTCTTAGACTTCTTAGATTTTAAATTAGGATCGATTTTTTTAAAACGTAGACATCGTTGATAGAACGACATATTGTGGACGTGCATGGCTGTTATGGCGACTGATAGCAAAGAATTAAATGCTGCAGAAGAGGCGTACGCGGCGATTTCACGATACGACAAAGTAGATTATATTCAATACATAAAGGTAACGATTGATTTATACAATATGTATATTTTTTCTTCTCTGTGAAGAAAACAATTCAAATTATGATCTTATAATCAGAGTCTGCCGAATAAAACGGAGCGACTGGCAGAAATGGCTCTTCTGTCGGGAGACTTGTTAACCGCGGAAGGCATACTTTTGCAAAATGGACTGATCGAGGAAGCTATACGAATTAACATCGAAATATATAATTGGAACAGGTATTCCTCTTTTATAATTCGTGAAACAGTCTCTTCGGGCACAGATGGTTATTTTCAATTTATTGATCATCAACTTTAGAGCGCTAGAATTGGCGATCAGACATAAAAAGCAACTGGACGAAGTACTGAACGCAAGGAAGGAATATTTGCAAGTGATTAACAAAAAGGAAACGAATCAGAGTTTCCTCGCGTACATGGCGAACGTTGCGAAGGCACACGTAAATTGAGCAGATCCACTTAAATGCACAGTTTCGCACGATTTGCACAAGACTTTTTACCATTTTCCATTAACCTGTGGGATGAACGCTTTTCACCAGGAGGCTACAGGAAAAACTGTGTTCAAAGCAGAAGAAGTCGAACTGCCGGAAAGCGAAATAGGAGGAAATGAAATGCAAAAGAACGAGACGTTTAATCAAGATATGTGAATCCATTATATAAATTATATCTTTAATTAATATCTGTAGCACTGTCAGATAAATTTTAAAGACGTTTTATACCAATAGGCGATGTCAATGTATAATTATATTTAATATATTTTACAACACTAAAAGTTTTAAAAATATCGAGATCACAAAAATGATCAAGGTAATAAGTATAAATAACGGTACGAGTCTACTTGAATACCACGTCGTCTCGTTCGTCGCGGGTCTGTATCGTGTCACCAAAGCTGGCTGAAGTAAAAAAAAAAATAAATCCCTTTTCAAATCTAATGAAATTGTCTATGTACTTCTTTAATTCCCAATTTATTTTATCTTACCCATCCTCCGTTAGCTTGTATCCACGTCGCAAGGTCCTCTTCCAAGACATCGGTCATACCTGGAACCAGTTATTAAATACTCGAAGATGTAACACTGTTGAAGCTAATCAGTGACGTGCATTAGCAGACAAATATTATTCTTAGGATTAATTACTTGCCTCTCTGAATTGCCGGCAAATATTCAGGTTTCCCCTGACGCACGCAGTCCACGCCGATTCCGCCAGCGACCGCGTAAAGGGCTATCACCTTGCTCCAAGTCATCTCTCCGATTCTGATCATCTCCCTGGAGACCTCGACGAAGGCTTCGGTTACAGCTTGTTCCGACGAGAAAGTGCCGCAACCGATCTGCCGGGCGACACGATTGAACAGATTCGGAT